ACATAATCTTGTACAAGAAAACTATAGTTCTCTGCAAAATCCATAAGAATAAGACAAGTGTGTTGATCTGATGTTCTTTTTGCCTCTGATAAGTAAAAGGATTGTGCTTCATTGATAAAGTGGTGGTGACAAAGGTCATACAAAGTTTCACTTAGAGTTTCCATAGACTCAATAATGGTTGTTTGGACTGTGACAAGTGCAGTTTGGTCAGTTGACACCTTTTGTTTGTATGTGATCTGATCGTCAAAATCAAAATCATTATTTTCAAACATATTTTGCCAAGTAAGTCTTCAAATTTACTTTACCAGAGCAGTTGGAACATAGATGAAACATGTAGCTTCATCTATCTATATTACGAACACATGCTTTTATTAACATAGATGAAACATGCAGCTTCAACTATTTATATTACAAACACATACTTTTATTAAATGGCCTTTAGGTAAAGCATTGCATATCAACTTTGCATTTTGATGATAAGAACATACGCAAAATGAGTAAATTCCACTACTGTTAACTGTAATGCACCACTTTGGTCTTAGTTCACAGAACTTGCTGAATCCAACTTTGTGTGTAGGGTATAACTTTTTAAACTCAACATAAAGTTCCTCTAATCGAACTAATATTTAACATTTTTGTTTATGAACTTTTACATTATTTATACGCACAGAAACAAAGTCTTTTTTTCCTAGACATTGTCTTGTAAACTCTTCAGATTCATAAGTTTCAATTACTTTTTGTTTAACAATAAATTCCAAAGGCTGTCCTATTTTAGCCTAAGGTTTAGCAAGTATTCCTTTTTCATTTTTTAACTTTCGATCTTTCTTAACAAGATGTTCTGAAACTGAAAATGTTTTGCAAGTTTTTTTAATTGACCAACTATCAGGAGTTAGTGTTAGTAGTTGAACTTTTTCTCCCTTCAAACTTATTTTCATTTTATTTTTTATTGCATCTAACAGGTTTTTTCTAATTCTGTATCTACTAGGTTTGTCACTCTTATTAAGAACTGTCTTATCAAGGTCTATTATGTATTTATCTAGAAGTATAGGCTTTTTCATGGTGAAGACATATCTCCTTATTTGGTTTAAAAGTGTATCCTATCCTTCTTTCTATCATTTTACAATATGACATTTTATCACAATCTTCATTTAAAACTCTTTTCACACAACATGTCTCTGACATTTTTTACTAATCTAAAAATATTAAAATTGAGGGTTAAACATGTAGCATAATCTAAAAAAAAAACTTAAATTTTTCCAGTAATAAAATCAGTAAAAATGAAGTCTCAAGTACAAATTTGAATAAAACTGTCTAAAATGCAACCAATAAACTATTACTACATATAACTATTTCTGCATACACTAAACTTTTTAGTTTTTGCAATATTATAAACTAAAATAATAAAATCCAGAAAATACTGTGCAGATTAAGATTTGAATACAAACTCTTGAAACAATTGAAGTATTTTACACTCAAATTATAACTATGAAAATTATATCATTATAATTATATGCATAAAATTAAACAAATACATATAATAAAATCATATAAAATAAATTAAGTTCAGACACTGGTAATGTTATTTTAGGGAAAACTAATTATATTTATTCAGGGAAAAATTAAAAATATACACCTAAGTCATAGGGCTACAATCATGTCATAAGATAGGTTTTTAAATTTTTTTGGTGATTTTCTATATATAGAACCTTGCAAGTAAAAAGTTTCATCATTTATTTTAACTATCTAGGCTACTATCTATGCCCACAAAGTGAATGTAGTTCACCGTATTTTTTTTAAAAAGTAATATTTTAAGAGGCTGCTGCATGTGCTAAAATAACTTTTAACACATAATTATAATTTTTTGTGCAAGTGGTTATTCAGTACAGAAAAGTAACAAAAGTATACAAAAGTAACAAAAAATTAGCATAGCTTGTCTGTTGGCATTGCAGGGTGGCCACAGCTCCTCTAAAATCCTCTAAAGTCCTCTTTTTTCAAAAACCTCCTCTAAAATCCTCTATTATCCTCTAAAAAGTTAAAAATATCATAAAATCTCCTCTTTTTTATTATTTTTTATTTCTTGATGGTAGTATAATGTACAAAATTCATGGTCTGCAAAATGCGTAAAGTCTGAAATAAGAATTGGGTTGTAAAATCAATTTAAGCAAATTCATGTCATCTAACAAATAGTGACATTGTTGACCCCTGTCCAAACTCCAGTTATGTGGAAGCAGGCGTTAAACCTTGAAAAAAATCCTCTAAAATCCTTTATTTTCATTCAGAATTTTGTAGTTTTGCAAAAAAAATCCTCTAAATTTAATGCAAAATCTCCTCTAAAATCCTCAAATATCCTCTTTTTCTTATAAAAATTTTATGGCCAGCCTGCATTGAGCTGTAGCACATAAAAGTTTTTTCTAATATACCAAAATTGTTTCTAATATTGCGTTATTTAGCAACTTTGAGGTACTCAAAAATTGTTTAAAATTAGTCAAAAACACCTGCAAAAATGGATAATTTGGGTGAAAAACTATTACCATAAAAAATTTCAAGTGATCATCTATTTTATTTAAAATATATCATCTGTAAAAAATCAAATCTACTGTAAGCTCCAGATTCTCAAATTTTGCCGATTTTGGTCAATATTGATTTAATTAATAATTTTGAACGGTTTGGTCAATCATGCTGAAATTTTCAGGATTGTGTTTTTTTTCGTAAAAGCTGTGGGTAGTCAAAGTTTGAAATAAGTTTGAGGTGGTACCCCAGGGTACTTTGGAAAAACTAGGTGATTTCATATGGAATAACTTGTGTATATATATATGTATATAAATTAGTAGAAAATTACTTAACAAAAATATTTTTTTCCTTTTACACTGTGTTTCATCAATAAAGACTCATCAGATTTCCAATGAGTCTTTATTGATGAAACACAGTGTAAACGGAAAAAAGAATTTTTATTAAGTGATTTTCTACTAATTTATAATTGCTCTGTTCTTTTAAGAACATTGAGCACTCTATTTTGTAGAGTACATTTGAAAACTGTTTATATATATATATATATATATATATATATATATATATATATATATATATATATATATATATATATATATATATATATATATATATATATATATATATATATATATATATATATATATATATATATATATATATATATATATATATATATATATATATATAACACAGGGGTGTGGAGTCGTAAAAAAAAAGTAACGACTCCGACTCCAGTTGTTTAAATATATATATATATATATATATATATATATATATATATATATATATATATATATATATATATATATATATATATATAATATATATATATATATATATATATATATAGAGAGAGAGAGAGAGAGAGAGAGAGAGAGAGAGATTTGTAAAAATGGCTAGATTTTTGCTCCGGCCGAAATCCGGCCGTTTTTACAAATCCGGCTTTAGCAAAAAATTAGCAAATTCAGCATAATTTTAGCCGGACATTTGAATTTTGGTTAAATATTTATTACATTTATTTTGCCCGTATTTACATGTATACTTAATATTTTATTTATACACATCAATTTTTTCGTAATTCTATATTTTATGAACTTCATGTTTGTTTTGGTATCTGTATTTATATTTCTTTACAATTTAATAAGCTTAGCCTAATTAAAAATAAAAAATTCTGAAGGGAAGACGATATTCTACAATGATGCAGGTGTAAAGACTATGATGTCAACTCTAATCAAATCATTGGATAAGCGTTTTAAAAGCATTGAAAAGAGAAACCTCTTTATATAGTGCCGACACTTGTTGATCCACAATTTAAAACTAAATTCTCATCATTACAGGCAACAATGACAGCTGAAAAAGCAAGATTGAAGTCAATCGGAGCATGCTGAGCAGAAGATTGACAAACTGAAAAAAATCAAGCAAAATAAACTGGATAATTTTTCTACATCATCATCATTACTCTGGCAATTTATTGATAAAATTATTCAGTCTATGTCCGCTGGTGTTACAGCACATGAACAATAATTACTAAAAGACATTGACACTCTGCTAAGCCAATATCTGGAAGAACCAGAAATAAATAGACATACTGATCCACTACAGTGGTGGAGTGACAACATCCCGGGAAAAAAGTTCAATAGAATTTCTGTAAAATGTCTATTAATTTCTATAGAAATTGCTATAAAACTTTTTTAATAACAACAATGAAGTTTAACGGAAAGCAGCTGTCACTTGGTATTGTGAATATTCCACATTGTTGACCATTCTCAACACCAAGTAGAAATGTACAAGACTTTGATTTTTTACACAATAAGAGTGTTGAGCAAATGGAATGACCACCCCAGAGCCCAGATATGAATTCCATTAAGCATGTATGGGAAATCCTGTTCAGGGAGATCAGGGTTAGAAAGCCACGCAATCAGGATAATCTGTGGAATTTTCTGCAAAATGCTTGATATAATATCACTCCACAACACCTTTAAGTTCTTATTGAGTCTATGCCTCGACGAATTGAACAGCTGCGTTTAGCTAAGGGTGGACATACTAACTATTAGTAATTCTTACAGTTCTCGATTACATAATTTCTGTAGTTAATGAAAAAGGTAAATACTGTACAAATATAGAGTGATTGTTTGGTGTTTCTGTTTTATCTAGCAAAAAATTCTATTAAAAATTTACTGGACACATGACATTTTTCCTCCACTGTACATTATGATAAAATTTATGACTAATTAGAGAAACATATATTAAACATATTTTAAAATAAGGTGATGTTTTTTATTAAAGCAAAAATATAAAATGCTACAGGGTTTCATATTTTTACTTAATCACAACAATTAGTTTGTGTCAAGGTATATTTGAATTAGTTCAAATATACCTTGATTTAAATTAAAAATTGAAAAACTTTTTATAAGATAAAAAATAGATTAATATACATAATTAATTTGAAAAATTAAACTATTTCTTTACATGTAGACATTTTATTTTAGGTCTATGCTTGGGAATTATCTGATCAAATTTTACGTCAACACCGAGACCAAGAATCTATATATTTTGCTGCCCAAACAATGAAAACTAAGGTTTATAAATTAATGACTTTTTATTCATTATGTATTTAATATTCATATTATTGAAATATATTTACCATACCAAGCCAGTAAAAATTATCGTATTTGCATAATAGGTCATTGTCAATTTTATTAATTTCATGTTTTTGTTTATTGAAGTCAAATGTTAGAGCAAAATCATTATCATTGGATACACTTTTCATTTTTATAATTGAATGAGGAGGTATAAATTGATAGAAACTTATTGTCCCAGGAATAGTGGTTGCTATTAAAAGTCTATCAGTAAATTTAGTTCTCACTAGGTCCATTTCTTCAGCGGTGACGTACACAAATGTAATCCCACTGACAGGCTTGGTCCGGAAGCGGGAGCGATCGCTCTCGAATACTGACCATGGAGATTATATTTAGTTGCGAAAAACTGGCCAGGTTTTTTAATTGTTTTGAGAACATTTAAGTTTATGTATGAAACAATACGTTTTGGTTTTACGGACATACATGGAAACATAAAAAACTTGAATGTTCTCAAAACATCTTGGTGTGGAAGAATGAATAGAATATTCGCGAAATCTAAAAACCCGCCAAATTAGCGAATAAACTAATTCTACTAGTTCAAAAAATATGCTGACTAAGCGAAATAAAGTTCTAGAGTATTCTGTTGAAATGTTTTAGAAATATTATTATTCGGGATTTGTTACGTTATGAGATTTCTAGCATAGATTGTTATAAGAATGTATTATCAGTTCTATGGCTCATTCTCGAAGCCAGAAATAGCCGTAAATCTTATAAACTATTATTATTTGTTTACATATATAAAAGGTTAAATATATATTATTTAAATTGTCAAAATTTTGAAAGTTTATTATAAATTGTAGATTTTATTAGTATGTATTTATTTAAAGAGTATGTATTTTTTATGTAAATGTAATATTGTTATCAATTTAATTTGTAAACATAGACTTACAAAAATAGTTGCGTTTTCAATGAAGTTATTAATAATCATTAAAGTTAATAAAACTAATTATGTGGCATTTAAGTAGTTTCTGGTTACTAAACGCTAACTATGCATACAAAGTAACTGACGGATGAACAAGCATCGCTCCTGAGGTCACAACAGAACATAAATATATACAGCAAGTTATTAGATATAAAGAAAAGTTTCTAGATATTGGTTCATTAAATCTAATTATTTTTGCTTAAGTCGCCATTCTTAAAAACTCGTTATACTTTTTTCTGCTTTAAACCCACTAAACATCATCAGCAATATTATGAAGCAGTTTCGCTTCCTCGTCATCAAAGTGTTTTTAACTTTTCAAGTTGATTTCTATCTGGTAAATTTAATTTCTATAGTAATTCAATGATTTAATTATTTCATTTGTTTATCTTACTAAGAAGAATTGTTTCAAATATGTTAAACTTTTCAAACTATGCGAAACATAAAATAGGTATTAAACAAATTAACTTTTTTATTTATAAAATAATTTAGCTTAGATAAAACTAAAACTTGCAAACTTTGATAAATAAAGAACTTTAAACAAAGAATTTTAAACAAAGAATTAATTTTATAAAAAAATTATAAAAGAGCGATGTTTCAAAAATATTTGTTCTAAAGGTAATTTATTTTCCTTAAAGCTTTTTTGCGTTAAAAGATTTTCCTAATTTTTTTTTTTTTGTAATTGTCTCTCATCGGTCCAATTAATCTTATGTGCATATTTTTTTTGCTTTTTGAAATGTTCTCAAAACGACTACAAAATCTGGCCAGCTTTTCGCAACTAAATATTATTTCTGGTCAGCAATCAAGAGCAATCGCTCCCGCTTCCCGACCATGCCTGCACTGATTGACTTTTGACAGTATTCAAACATTGTTTGAGAAGACAGTTTTTGACCTGTGGTTGGACTCTGCAAGCTAGCATTTGCAGAGTCCAACCACAAGCCTTTTAACAGTGCCACCTATTCAATCGCATGGAGATTTATCATGGCTTGTTGCAAAGAAATTCCAGATGCACCGAACAGAAAAATCTTGGGCATGGTGACATAAATTGTAAAATTGTTTGCAATTTTTATACTGCCCTGCACAATTATCAGAAAAAAAAAAATGAATTTTTGTAAATGCGGGACAATGATGAGTTTTTATATGATTAATGGTTTTACGCATAACTTCATTGATAAATCCAACATGATTTAAATCATCTGAAATTACACAAAAAGAAGATACTTCCAATTTCACTTTCTTGTAATAGAAGACAACTGGATGAAGAGAACATTGACTCTTGCTCCAATGGTAACTCTGTATCTTGTCTTGTACTACAAAAGTGTAATTCTCTGCAAAATCTGCTAGTGCAATAGCCTCATCAATACTAATTGTTTCTTTGAGATGCTTTAGATTGCTAGATTGTGATTTTGCTATAAATGAATGAGAAGTAATTTTATCAAGTTTGTCACACAGGAGCTCTATGAATTCATTTAAGGGAAGTTTTATTGTTAATAGTTCGGTCTTATCTGTCGTTGTCCACTGCTTGAAATCCACTGACTTTTCATTTTCGTCACTGTCATATTGCTCTTTTGGATTATCATTTTGTGTGAGATACTGCTGGAAATAACTTTGGGCAGTTCGTATGCTAGGACAACTATTGCATTGGTGAATCATGCAAGCTTTCAATTTTCTGCTGCAGATAATCTTTTCAAAGATTTCATGGTAAGATATTTCTAGGCCTACAGCACTCAACATTAATTTACACATATACAATTGCTAAAAAATCGAGAATTTGAGTCCAAATAAGGAATTTTTTGTCAAAATTTCAAAATGACATCTTTAGAATGCTTTAAGAAACCAAAACCATCTTTTTTATAAAGATAGCCTAGGATCACCTACTTCATTTGAAAAAAAAAGTAAATCCATGAAACTTGGGCAATTCTAGGAGTTAATGAAAGTGCAACCCATGGTAACAGATCAAAAAATTTAACTGACCATTTTAAAATAAAATAATATCAAAGTTAAATTTCACTCTCAAAAAATTTAACTGACCATTTTAAAATAAAATAATATCAAATTTAAATTTCACTGTTTTCTTTACATTTTTGAATTCAGCAACCTCGAAAATGGTCAGGTACCAATTTTTATCCACGTTATTCCACTAGATCTTAAATAATTCATTAAAAAGTACTACTGCAAAGTCCATAATAGCGGATATGGAAAAAAATAGGGCGTTTTAGGCTGAATTTCAAAACGTCATAACTTTTAAACGGCTTGGATTTGGGAGCTCAAACTTTACATTTTTTCATGTTACATTGATAGGTACCACTGAGTAAAATTTGAAAGAAATCTGAGGTGACAGAAAAATTTCAATTTTTTGTCTCAGTTTTACATGGCATTACCCTGTAGTTTGCAGAAGTTTTTTTTTAATTTTCTAATCAATATCAAAAAAAAAAAAGTAGTTTATATTTATGAAAAAGTTATACTTTTGTGAGAGCTAAAAATTGCTCCCATAAACCACTTAAGGGGAGTGTGAGTGAAAGTGAAAGGTCTTGCTTCCCGCCAAGGCCTGATATATATATATATATATATATATATATATATATATATATATATATATGTATATATATATATATATATATATATATATATATATATATATATATATATATATATATATATATATATATATATATATATATATATATATATATATATATGTATATATATTTATTTATTTATTTAAAGTATGAACATCAATGAATATGAGTTCTCTCAATACTAATTTTTTTATTTAATCTAAGAAGTTTTCGCTAGATTATTGTTACTAGCATCTTAAATATATATATATATATATATATATATATATATATATATATATATATATATATATATATATATATATATATATATATATATATATATAACATTTTAAACATTCTGGCCCCTCCAATTATCGTACGATTAATATTTAACTAATATCCAACAAACTCAAAGTTAAAGTACAAGTAGAAGTAGCAGCTTTAGTAAGCTTTAGTAAGTGAATTCTTAGTTATCTTAAGAAGTCATTTTGGTGTCGTTATCTTAGTTATTCTTAAGAAGTTCAGACGTTCAGCTCAGACTGCTGCTCTAAAGCCGTTACTTTAGCTTTAACCAAAATTTTAAAACAATAAAAAGCATAACTCACCTTGGTTATGAAACAGAAATTTTTGCAAAGCAAATGATGATAGCAAAATCGCAATGAACATAAAAATGCAGTTTTTTCTATAAGTTCGCTGAACATAAGCTTGAAGTGAGTATCTTTAAAATTGTGTTTTGTCATGTCATTTAAAAAGTTTAATTTAAAATTAGAATTATAAAAATTATTTATTAAAGATACTTATTTATCTATTTAAAATATCAAGAACTGGTAAAAATTGAATCTTGTGAAATAGAAGACAAATTTATGGAAGTTTTTTTGCATTCTTATTGTTTGACACTTTAGGCTTCTTTAACCAAAAATATTTAAAGGGTCTATAGCCTATTTTATAATCTATATGCATTCTAATTTGAATTTTATAACACAATGCCAACCCCTGTAGCAGAAGTAAACTAAAATTGATTTTTAAAAATGATTGTAGGGATACTATAGAACAGGACCGTCTATCAGACATACATGTTAAAAATGTTTACAACTCTGTATTAAACTCTAGAAACAACACTGTTGTAAGATGACAATAATAATAATAATATTAATAATAACAATAATAACAATAATAACAATAATAATAATGATAGTAATAATAGTTTTTGATAAAAAAAATAATAAAAAAGCCAAAAAAAGATTGTTTTCAATATTAATTACTAAGAATCTGTTTGTGAATCTTAATCAGTAAATGTAGAATGTATTGCGTGAGGATTTGAATGTGTTGCATAAGTATTATTTAATTCAGATGTGGTTATTTAATTCAGATGAAAATATGGATGTAAAGTGATGGTATTAGTTGTTTTTTGATTAATGTCAGTACACTCGTGGTGTACACTTGTAGTCACCCGACAGTAC